ACTTTTGTCAGCTGCTCATATAACCCCTTTATAACCCCAATATCTACAACCCCTATATAACCCCTACAGATCCCAAGAGTGGAATCCATTTCGCGTCTTCGGTTGGGGTTAGCCACTCCAGTGCCTCCGCAGTTTCCTGGGCTCGAGCTTCTGCACGCAGCACTGCTAGCTACAGAGCACCGCGGTATTTGTGTCACTGAGGGTGTTATAGTTCTTCGGAGCAACAGCTGATCCAACCCCTCTCTTGTGTCTGAAATATGCTGGAAAGGTTTGAGGTTCCCATGGCCAAGGAGCATGCGATAATGGAAAAGAAACTGGAAACTACTATAGCATATTCGGGTCATATTGGGATGCTGGAAAACAAGATGGAAACTATATAGTATATTGGGGTTACTGTATAGAATGTTTGGACCAGTTCCTTGCGCATTTCCAGAACTTGAAGAAGATCCCAGAACAGATCCAAAACCAGAGAATCGACAAATCGATTGCCCTGGAGAGCCACCAGAGAACAAAAACAACATGAGCTTTGGAGGTCGGATGTTCTCAACGATGTAAAGTCCTATATTTGTAAACTGTTAACCATTCATTCTGTTAATCTCCTTAAGTTTGGGAGTCTCCGCCAAGAGATCCACTCCTGCCTCTAACCCTAAAGGTTTGGGTTTAGGGTTTGGGGATTCAGGGTGCTGGAACCGTAACCTGGACGTCCAAGCCTCAAAAATCAAGCCCAAATCCTGAAACCACTATTCTACATTGGTCTTCGATCTCTAAGCCCTAATCCTGGTGGAGGCCTGGGGAGATGACAACAAGGGCTTTGAACGGAGGCTCCATGCCTTCAGGCAACGGTACCAGGTGCAGGCCGGAAAGGGTGCCGGGAATGGGGTTCAGGATTTGGGGTTTAGGGTTTAGAGTTCAGGATTTAGGGTTCAGAGTTCAGGGTTTAGGATTTAGGGTTTAGCTTTTAGGGTTTTAGGGTTTGGGTCTTGGGGTTTCAGGTTTAGGACGTGCCTCCCTGGGTGAGGTGCAACATCTGCGTTCTACATCCAGATCCCAAGAAGAAAGTCAATGCAATTTGTGTCCTTGTTCCTTTGACTTTCCAGATGCTGTGCTGGGTAGCATGAACCTTGTGCCAGATCTTGGCAAACCCTCAACAACCTGCTAGCTACCCAATACCCCAGTCCCTGATCCACTAGACCCTAAACTCTCTAAGCCCTAAATCCCAAACCCTAAACCCTTGACTCCAAACCCCAGCCCCTAAACCTTGCGAAGCGGCCTATGGAACTTGCTATTTGAGAGCAGCTATTACTACATGAGCTACAGTCTAAACTCTTTTCAGGCGGTTTGTATAGAGTATTAGATGGGAGGAAGTATTATAAGGGTTATCAAGGGTCATGCTACAGTTCTTACTACCCCCAATGAAATTCTGAGTGCTATGTAGCAAGGAATACAACGCTTGTCATTGCAAAGTGGAAGCTAAGAGGCTCCAAGCACCGATCATCCTT